GCTGAGGCTGCTGAAGGCCCCGGGCCTCTACTTCAGCCCCAGCCCCAGCGCTGCTGCCAAGTGCCACTGTGCAGGGTGGCCAAAAGGGCATAGATCCAGGGGGGATAGGTGGGGGGGAGTTGTAAGCACAGGCAGGGTGCCAAGCACCCGAATGTTAATTATGTGACCAGAGGCACTGCAACAGCTATAACTTCAGGCATGAGGCGTAAGTCCATTTTTTTTCAGCACTATTGTAATTTTGAAAAGTTAATTGAACGAACAGTCGTAAGCTGAGGACTACCTGTACTTGTTGAGGCACACAGTTGAGAAACTGAGAGAGAGAGGAGCACAGGTTAGGGACACACCTTAGTCTAGTAGATGGAAAGGCCTGTCTTTCCAGATTTTTATGATCTTTAACTAACTATTGCAACATTTTATCAAGTGGCAGGCTGGGAGAGGTCAGGTCAATCCTTAAGGACCTTTCATGCTGCTGCTGAACAGAAACAGTCGCAGAGAGGTTTATTGTAAATTAGATTTCTCCCTCAATGTAGAAAGAAGTTCTACGACTGCTGACTTTGTCTCTTCTTGTAAATCCCACTCCAGGGAATCGCATTGGATTGACAAGTACATGGGGCTTAAATTAAATATAGGAGACAGCTTCTTATTTGCTACTGTTTTCAGATGTCTGGGAGGTTTGGATGTTGGCAGGTCTGTGCACACTGTTTCTTCTTTCTTTCCCCCCTGCTCCGATCCAATCCAATCAGCTCGACAAGTAGCAAAATGAAAAACTAAAACCGGAAATCTCCAACAAAATATTACTTATACCAAAAGTTTGAAATAATTCATAAAATAGTTAACTACAACCTAAAAAGCTAAAATAACAACATGTTTATATAAGACTGAAGAGCTTCCTAACAAGGTCCTGTCCCATCAGCTTCCCCCTGCCAACATGCGGTCCAGTTGTGGATTTTCACAGCTCCCACCCTTTTCTGCTCCTCTGTCTCAGACAGGGACAGCTGCTTATCCTATGCTCTTTCCTTTTGAGATCTTTTTTTATTTTTATTTTATTTTATCAAATTTGTTACCACCCATCTTGTTGAAACTACTCTGGGCAGTTTTTAGTGGCTTGAAGCCTTACAATATATTCTACTCCTCTATTGGTCAAGCTCTTCTAATATACTGAATTAACTTCTTCCAGCCTGGTTTTCTTTAGGTTTGTTAGAATGACTCCTGTAATTGCCCATCAGGCTGGGGAAGGCCACTGTGTTATGCATCCATTCCTTCATCCATTCTTTACTTTTTCTTCTGTATTCTCTTCCTCAGAGCATTTACAAGCAAGAAAAGGAGTGGACAATTTCTTCCTTGTCCTTGCTGCAGAATGCAGGGGATATGGCCAATGATGTGGTGCTATCAGAGGAAGTTAAAAATGTGTTACCTGTTATTTTTTGGTAATGCAAAATGGATGTCACTGAGCCTTGGAGAAGCTTAATGAACCAATTTTACCTTCTTTTTCTACCCAAAATTGATAATTTGGGCATATTTTCATGCATACTTGGAAGACTGCAAAAATGGGGTGGGGTTACATGCAGGCTATTATTTGCCTACTCCTGATCTAACATGTAAATTTGTTTGTAAGGAACTTGAGGTGAATTATGATGTGTCATACAGGACTGCATCATGTTCAGTGTAATCCTGAATTTGGTCCTTTGTCGTTCAAAGGCCAGGTTCAAATCAGTTCTTTCTTACAGAACTCCAAGGAGTGGACCAAAATGGTAATCAGGAACATTGCAGCCTCTGGGAAGTTTTCCAGTGACAGGACCATCAAAGAATATGCCCGTGATATCTGGAACGTGGAACCTTCTGACCTCAAGATCCCACCACCCAACGTACCTCGTGATGTTGCTGATGAGATGCTGGCCAATGACTCAGCTGAAAAATTGCGTGTGTGAATCTGAGAAGTCCTGCAAGGTTTCTCTCTGCATGGATAATGCACAGTACTGTACATTGGGAAAAGCATGCAGAGATTTGTTTAGCAAGTAATGGTAATAAAATGGCTTCTTCTTTTCTCTTTTGCTTACAAGCACTGAGGGCAGTTGGGATATCTTATGCATTATATACATCACACAGATTTAAATGGGCTTGAGCATCACAATTCTCCCCCTTCCCTTCCTTTGGATCCCTGGGAATTGTTGTTCCCCAAAAATAATTGCTCAAATATGTCCTATTTTATCTGATGGCTTCTAAGTGTGCTGGACCATATCTCTCTTATGCTAGTCAATGTGGCCATTGGCCATGCTAGATCTTAGTCCCAACACAACTAGAGAGCACCAGCTTGAGGGAGGCCACCCTAACAACTTTTGGTTTCCCTGCCCAACCATTATCCAGGATGCTGGGGCTTGACTCGGGTGGCATAGCTATAAATTGACTCAGAGGCCTCTGGTTTCTTCAAAGGGCACTTTTTTACTGTTGTATAAGTAGATGTTATAAAGAATGCCATTAGTGAGACTGAATCTTTTAAAGAAAATGAAAAGTGTTGTGCAAGGTGTATACTCATAAAATGAACTCTTAGCAGAAAGAATAGTACATTTTGAGAGAGAGAGATGTTAAAACAGAATTTGTATAGTGGTATAGAATCTGGACCACATGGTCTTCCTTCAAGAGGTGAGCATAAAAGTCTGTTCCTACTTACCAAGGATAGTCATTTGAAATATTTTGAAGAACACCTTGTGCTTTTCACCAGGTGTTGATTACAGCACTAAACCTTTGAGGGAGTTGCACTATACGGTATAGTATAAATTGATTCATACTGGCAACATAGCTGTGAGTAGGAAGATACGCTGAGAGGAAGAGGATGTTCTGCTGAAGTAGGGCTTTCGGTAACCAAGATGAAATGCATTTATAAAAAAGAAGCAATTTTTGCAAGGCTCGAAAACTGTATTTTTGCCCAATAATGTTGTTCTGTGGTGTACACCTGGAAATTCACATGATAAAATAAACTGAAATCCACTTTTTTATCTTCTAACTGTTCACTGCTTTAATATCCATGGCAAATCAGTCTAAGAACTCATGTCTCCTTGAGGCTGCTATCAATGTCAATGGCCACTTGATTGCTGATCCCACTTGATGCTCTTGAGGAAATCTCTGTTACGGAATATACAGAAAGGATTTATGTCCTTGGGTTTGGTGCCATATAAAATCAACCTCCTGCTCAAATTGTCTGGTTCACTTGGCCAAGGTTGGGTAGGATATTTTATGTAGAAGAATTGTGAAAATACCTACAAACTCTGGCAGCAACAGCTTTATGCACATATCTGCCTTTTTAACATAATATCCTGCCCTTCTACCCATAGGAACTCAAAGCAGCTAAAAGTTCAGAATGAAATATTAAGCAATTAGAAACCATCAAAACAATGATAATATATCTGATTATATTTTAAACTAGGGCTGGAACAATATATAGCCCACTGACCAATCAATGGTGGTCATCTGAACTTTCTTATTAGGTTCACCTTCCACAACTTCAGCCAACATAGCAGTACAACATGTAGCAATAACAACTGGTCAGTTTGGGCATATATGGAACAGAAGTATTGCATGATAATTTTTCAGCCACTATTGCTGGAACTCCACACCAAAATGAGCTGTCTATTGAAATCTCCTCAGATGCACTAGCTTGCTTACTTGATTAAGCTACTCTTAATCAAGTAAGAAGAAATCTAGATTTTGCCAGTTAAAATGGATTTTCTCTACTGTGGCCTAGTTTATACAACATATGAAACCATAATGTGGTTGCTTTGGTTTCACTTAATATGTTCCATGAATACTATCCTTTGGGATTATTCAGTAAACCATGTTAAGCAAATAGTGGCTTAATATAAATCCAGTCAAACTTGTAATGCATTGGGTTGGACTGTATTCTCTGCCTATCTCAAGCCATTGAAGCATCAACAGGGAAAACTCTTTTAACAGAAGTCTTACAACAGCATAAACTTGGCTCAGTGTGCTTACTTTAGAATGGAAGCGAGCTGAGGATGAGAGGAGATGTAGTCGTGCCCTAAACCCATGGAAGGTGGGAAGGAAAGAAACTTGATGTTGTCTTTCTTCTCAGAGGCACTGTATGAGATCTCAAAGAGCTGTGTGTGTAGAAAAAGAGTGAGCATGAATCACCAAGAGGACTTTAAGTACTGGTGCAAACTGATTTTTTTTTTTTTGCCTCAAGAATGGAATTAAATATGATTGGGCTTTACCTATTACTAAACTACAATTCCCAGCTTTTCTTACCCTTGGCCATGTTGCCTGGGAGCTACTAGTTATAATGGCTTAGTAGGCTCTGTAGGCCCCCAGGATAACAACTCTACTCCCTCAAACCACCAGTGACAACTACATGGCATCATTCAAAGGAGAACAGAAGTAACTACTGAAATTACTGCTGGTGCCTACAAAGAAAATGGTCATATTTAAAACCACTTTATCCACCTTTGTTCCATGGAACTGAGAGAAGGGTTCACAAGCTTTTTCCTCCTTTCTTCAAATTTTGTCCTTGCAAGAGCTTTATGACCAAGTTGGTCATGCAACCCAAGACCCTTACTCTAGCCTGTGGGTTAGCAAAAGTATTTATTTTAAATCAAAATGGCAGAAATCTTACAAAATCTTAATTCTAGGTGGGGCTCTGAAAAGGTGACCTTTTGTGGGGGGATGGAAGTCCTGCTGCCTGAAATTGTGGCCTAGTCCTACTTAGTGAGGTAGTTTTGAGAGACAGTGACTTGCCAAAATCTTCTAGAAATCTAGGCTCTATATAGACTTAGTTCAACACTTTAACTAACCAATCTGCCATCCAGTTTAACTGGCTCAGAACGTCCCCTAATCTGAATAACAACTTCCTAAGTGAAGTTGTTCACTTCACTACTTCTCTAGGAAGTTCCCTGAAAGGCTTATGGAGCAACAGCGTCTGAATGTTCAGAGGCCATGGCCTCATTTCTACTGTTGAAATCCTGCTGCTTATCCCTGGCTAATCTATGGTGTCTTAAAATTACATATAATGCACACCTACATAGGTCCTTCCCAGTGGAAGCTGGATTATCTCTTCAAATAAAAGATGGGTTGCTCTGTTTGTTTAGGATACGGTTATGCTGTTAGAGATGGAAAGATTTGACACCACACACGATGGAAGAACGGTTGGTGAAATTAACAGATCTTGCTGAGATGGATAAACTACTTTGATTAGAGAAAAGACACTCCATTTATTGGTGACTGGAAACCTCTTATGGGCTTTTTGCATCAAAATGAAAAAAATGAACTTGCAATTTATGGTTTTGATGATTAGACAGGATAATTATAGAAAGAAGAGTATTAGGGTGTAACTTTAAAAAGAAAGGTTAAAATATCATTGTACTTATAATTGCTGTGAAGAATATTGGAAGCCACTGCTTTGTATCTTTTTTTCTTTCTTTTCTAGTTTTAATTTTTTTTCTTTCGCTTTTTTCTTTCGCTTTTCTTTCTTTTTCTCTTCTTTTCCATATATTAGTCTGTATTAGTCTTTTTAAAAGTTTTAATAAAAATTATATATACAGTGGAACCTCGAGTTACGAATTTAATCCG